AGAAGAAGTGAGGAATTATTGGTGTTCAAGTTGTGGCCCCTTTGCTGATATCAGCAAGTGCATGTTCATGAACCCAAATCAGGTTTTCAAAGAGATTATGTACAGTAGTGGCTACAGTTTAAGATATGCCACATCTTTTGTATAAATTATGTACTAAAGGGGTAATGTACACAAGATACATATATACTATGACCTCCAAAATAATGCTTTAGTGTTCTAAACACCAACATCAGCAAAGCTATTTTCTAAAAATATAGTTGAACATGCATCTGAAATTTTACTTCTTACTTTATCGAAAGCGAAAAGAATGAAATAGTAACATACCTTGCAAAATGCTTGTAACTCCAAAAAATCAGACAGACAGTTAGTTACTAACTTTTTTTATTCTTCTATTTTTGAGGCAGATTCATCTGACCTTCATAACACCACTAAGAGGAGATCTTACTGACAAATTTGTGCAAAATCTACTTTCACACTGGGTGATTGGGTAATTCAAACTGAACATAAGCTGAACTATGGTCTACTAAAAATGTCTGAAACACAAAAAAAAAAGGAAAATAATTACTAGACAAAAAAACAAGGTAAACTTTAAAAGGATCGGAAGTTCTAAAACCAAGTGGAAAGAGAGGAGGATTCTGTCAGAAAAATTAAAGTCACAGCTTGCATATTACTCAAAATGAAAGTTAACTGCAAACTAGCCCTTGTGGTTTAATATTACACGCTACTAGAATGTTTAAATGTTCCATGTAAAGCCAACAATTCAAAGTTACTGGAAAAGTTGTTGGTAAACTCTTCCATCATACAATAATTTAAAACAACTTGCTATTTGATATACACATGGCATCAACATATTGATAGTTTGTCCCCACTGAGGTTATTAAACATGCGGTATCATCGGTAAGATCATAAGTGATTATTAACATTTTTATATTAAAGTCAGCATTGATTAATGAAAGGAAAATCATCCTTATCAGATCTATTGGAATTCTCCGAGAATGTAACCACAAATGGTGACAGGGAGCCAATGGACATGGTTTATTTGAACTTTCAGAAGGCTTTTGATAAAGTCACACACAAGAGATTAGCATGTAAAATTAAAGTGCATGGGATTGAGCACAGTGTAATAAAATAGATAGCAGGAATAAAGGAGTATTTTTCCAAATGGCAGGCAATAACCAGTGGTGTACCACAGGAATTACAGTTATGTCCCCATCTGTTCACAATGTGTTAAGTATTTGGATGTGGGAAACTAAACATAATACATCCAAACCTGCAGATAACACAAAGCTGGGTGGGAGGGTGAGGTAGGAGAAAGAAAGATGTAGAGACGTTTCAATGGTTTTGGACAAGCTGAGCGAGTGGGCAAATGCATGGTAGGTGAAGTATAATGTGGATAAATGGGAGGTTTTCTACTTTGGTAGCAATTACTGGAAGGCAAAAATTGTTATTTGAATGGCTGTAAATTGAGAGAGGAAATGTTTGAGATCCGAGTGTCCTCGTGCAGGTCTATAGGTTGAAAACCCTATTCTTGAGCTATCTGGCCAGGTCTAATCAAAAAACAACTATCTTCGTATTCTAATCCCATTTTCCTGCACTTGGACCATAGCCTTGTATGCCTGGTATCGCAGTACACATCTAAATACTTCTTAAGTGTTGAGGGTTTCTGCCTCTACCACCCTCAAAGGCAGTGAGTTCCAGATTCTCACCACCCACTTGGCAGAAGAGGGGTTTTCCTCCTCTCC